TAAATAAGTTGTTCTATCATTATCACAACATATCTATATATTTGCAAATAATTATTGCTTACTAACACCATCCCGTGCGAAGCACGGGTGAAAAATCTAGTATTGTTCAATATGGTTATATCTTACGGAGTATATTATTTTGGGATAACTGAAAAACCGAACCTGAAATCAAAAAATTGGGTTTCGATAATGAAACCGAAAAACCGGTTTAGTTTGAATATTTCACATTTAGGTTCGTGAACTGAATCGAATCCAACATTATTATGTCAAATCTAACTCTAGCTTTTTCATACTCGAGTTTCATAACTCATGTCCCATCACATATAAAAATTGAGAAAAAGAACATATATACCCTGAACTATTATGGTGGGAACAAATATACCCCTCTTCTTTTTTTAGAACAAAAAACTCATAAAACTGCAATTAGGATACAAATGTACCCCTCTCCTAACGTTTAGTCTCTTATTCTCCATCAACAACATTTTTCTTTCTAACTTCAGCTCATTTATCAAATCTTTAGCCCAAATCGGTTAGAAAGAAGACGATCACCATTGACCTGCAAATTTTTTAGAAATAATTACTTAAATATGACCAAAATAAAGATGATTTACAAAAATATGAGTAGTTACTAGAGTAGTAATGAAATCATAGTAATTCATCTTCAAGTTTTGAACTTAAGTTACCACAACACTACGTTGTAGTAATGAATAGTCATATTTATGTAAATAAGTTTTCTTTTAGTAATATTCTTGTAAAAAACCCAATTTTTTATTCTCCACATAAGCTGATAAATGAGAAGAAGATCACCATTCAGGGGCGGATCTATAGTATATTCAGTGTAAGCATTGGCTACACCTCAAATATTGTTACTAGCTAACATGGTAGTAGAGTGAAATATTAAACTCCCCTTATTCTTCAGGTCAAGAGTTTGAATCTGTGTAAGGCTTCAGGTGGTGTATTTTTATTTTTTGGAGTACTTTTCCCATGCCATTTTAATTTCGTGAGAGTGGGATTTTAAGATATGCCCTGCGTATATGAAGATTTAGTACTACACTAATACTCCGTATTATATTATTAAATTCTAAATAATCAAAATTACAAATTCTAACCCATTTCAACTCCGTATGCGCTTAGCTCTCTCATTTCTAGTAGTTCTCGAAGATTCTTTTCTAGGCTCCAGTTTAGGCTTTTTGTAAGCCTTATTAGTTACATAGTACGAGTACTATACTACAAGGTAATAATTATATATTGTTATTATTGTTTCATTTGTTTAAATCATTATTATTACCAATAACAAAAAACTCTGTTTGAGAAGTTGCAAACGATTAGTTGGTCGGACCAGAGGCCAGAGCTGCAATAGATTTGTACTTCGTATTAGATATCACATACTTCATTCGTCCCATTTAAATCTTTACACGTTACCTTTTGGAATGTCTCATTTACTATTTTACGTTTTTTAGGAGTTAGATTAAATGTCCTAACTACCCTTCACTACCTACCCACATTTTACATTTGAGTCGATAACATTAATTTCTCCCAAAAGTCAAAGGGCATACAAGACATTTGTTCTGCTATTAATTGAATTCCTAAAATATCGTACCAAAAGTTCTATCCGGGACGAAGGGAGTATTATATTAATATTATATATTCATATTAATATGTGCATACACTGAGCTCCGATGCCTAGATCCGTCACTGTCACCATTGACCTGCACTTTACGAAAATCTCTTATTCTCCAACAGCTTATTATTGTTGTGATCAACATCATGCCATTCAAAATATATGCATCCATTGACCTGCACATTTTTATTCATTTTCTATTCAAATAACATGTAAAAAAACATATGCACAAAAAGATAATCATAAACTTTTCAGGAAGGAAAAATCTAGGTAGACAAACAAAAAATTTGAATCTAGCTTGAAGCTTTTGTCCACAAAAGCATCGTTTTCACTTCCCTTCATACTCAAGCTCGAAAATGACTGGCTTTGCAAAGCTACTGGATGGAATCGAGGAAGATGAAGAAATAAAGAATTATAAGGTAGAAGGAAGGAGCTTTAATCACGTCGCTGCTAAAATGTGAAGAAGCCTGAAGCTGAGCCTAGTTGCTACGATGGAGAAGATAGAATGGATGTCCATTCAATTTTGGGTGTAATTTTAGATCTGACGGAAAGTTGTCAAACGTTAGGAGAGGGGTACATTTGTTTCCAAATTGCAATTTTATGAGTTTTTTGTTCCAAAAATAAGAAGAGGGGTATATTTGTTTCTACCATATAATAGTGGAGGGGTATATAAGTTCCTTTTCCCTATAAAAATTATTACGGAGTAAGTTTTATAAATCGAGGCATGAAGAATATTACTCGAGTAAGAAATATTTGAATTGTGTTTTTAATATCAAATTTGTAAAGGTGGAATTAGATCACTCAATCACGAGTGCACGACTAAATACAAATTATACAATAGGAGACAATTCCAATAATTGGGGTTGAATAACAAATATGGAACAAATATAAGAGACTGGTGGAAAACTATTAATTGCGAACTTATGTTATCATTTATAAGAAAATTACATATTAACACATTATTATAAAATAATAATAAAAAACTAGTATGTGAAAGCTTCATCTTCATGATGCATGAACAAAGAATAGTGGCTAAAGTTTATTGCGTATGTCGTTACTCCGAAACGTCTATATCTATGTACATACAAACTTATAAGCACTAGTAAATGTAAGCCTCTTTTGAATATAAAAAATATGTTGGTGTAACATTGTAGCTTTGTTGATGTGTACCTGCAGCTTAAGTAATTGAACCGGTTTCCCTTCGTTTCTCTTGTCACCAAACATCTTCCGTTAAGACAGACTCCCTCGCTGCCTCGCTCCATTCACTTCCGTTTCTCTCCCTTTACATATCTACAAACTTATAAAGCATCAAAGAGAGTAAGCCTGTTTTGGGTATGAAAAATGTGCTGGTGCAACATTGCTGATTTGTTGATGTGTACCTGCAGCTTAAGTAATTGAATCGATTTCCCTTCATTTCTCCGTCACCAAACGTCTTCCGTTAAGATACTCTCCCTCGCTGCCTCGCTCCATTCACTTCCGCTTCTCTCCCTTTATGTATTCCATCACATTCAACCCAAATTGGTTTGCTCTTGGTTCAGTCCTTGAGAACTCACTTCGTTCACTCATGCACAAGGCCAAGGCCTATGCCAGCGTTCCTGGCCTATAGTGGTATACTGGTATGTGAACCGGTTCTTCATCTTCTTCATCTTCTTCCACTCCACTTCATTCAACCTTTTGATTTCATTTGTGTGAAATTTACCATTTAATGTGATGTAGATTTTCATTATTGACATTTGTAGAATAAAGCTTCTCAATTCAGAAATGGGCAACACCGGTATTGTCTTCTCTCCCTTGTTCTTCACTGTGTAAGAAAATAAATTTTCAACTCTTTGAATTTAATAGCTCGAATTTAGTTATTACGATTTCTCTCCCTTATTATTCAGTGCAAGAGATAATTTTCAACTTTTTGAACTTTATAGTTTGATTTTATTTATTATGAAGAGGCGGAGACAGATTTTCTTGATCACCATTTTTTGAAAAGTCTTTTAGTTGAGCTGGGCATTCCAACGGAAGAAATGGTTCACAAACGAGCTATTTCCTTTCAAGCTTCTCTGCACCTCCATTAGTTAGGTACAAGTTAATTTTCAGTTTCTTTGTTTTGTTGACTACATCAAAGGCCACTCCTTGATATAAATGATATTCACATGGTTTTTCTTTTAAATTTTTTGTTCAAATAACTAGGCAATCAAGATTATGTTCAAGATTATGTGGCAGTATCTTAGTTTTGCTATTTGTTTATTTATGACATGATCAGCTAAGATCTATTATCTACTTATATTGATCCGTGTTTTGTTTCAAATAAAACTTTAACCATTTCTTCTTGAATAAATGTAGTCAATCTTGAATTTTTTGTTCACCTTATTATATGTCTGTTCTTTAATGATGCACAGTTACCGCCCTGATAAATCAGGGTCAAAGTTTGGCAATCTCTTGTTTTTCCCCCCAAAAAAATAACATAGAAATGAAAGCTTTCAATGCAAGTTTTTTCCGTCCAAATTACCATCCCATGAACAAATAACTTTCCAAGACCATATTTTCAAAATGCATTCCATATCACTAATGACATTGATGCCTGCACTTAAGATTTCATCACTAGTGAATATCTATGTAGCACCAATACCGGTACGCGGAAACGCGAAAACGGGTACGAGGATACGTCAAAACAAAAAAAAGTAGGATACGGATACAAGGCCATATTTATAAATATTAAAAATTATGGGGGTGTATTTACAAATATTAAAAGTTATAGGGGTCTATTTATAAATATTAAAAATAGATTTTTAATATTTATATATACATACATATAATATCCTATGATGTCTACCCATTCATTGCATTGAAGGATTTTCCTTTTTCAAGATACTTAGTAATAAATTCATAATATTTCTCATATACACTAGTGCATCTCGAAATATAAATGTAGTCAATAAGTCATTAATTTAAAATGAGAAATAAGTCAAACAACTACAATCTTGAAATTAAAAGTGCAAGTACCCAATTCGGAGTATGAGTTAATGACTTAATTCGGATATAGCCATATAGGTCCATTATTTGATTACCAAGTAAAACGTAGTTTTAGATTTTCATTTTTTTTTTAGAATTTTATTAAGTAAATTTTGGGATTTTTTTTTAAAAAGTTGATACGGGTATCCGTCAGGATACGAGTATCGGAAACTTTCAAAAAATTACAAAAAAAAAAAAATGGAAACTTTTAAAAAATTGCAGATACGGCCCGGGAACGTACGGTACGGGTATCCTAGAATATCAGATACGGGAACGTATCAGATACGCCAATACACTACCCTAGGGAAGTATCCGTGCTTCATAGGTGAATATACAATTGATTTCTTTGAGCGGTTATTCCTTTTTTTTCTTTGAACGGTTATTCCATTTCTATGCCTTTAGCAATCTTTTCAAGAATTTCGTAACTGTTATTCATTACAGGGAGCTTTCAAATCTAGGAAGTTGTGACTTCTTTGAGCGGTTATTCAGAAAATAGTCCCAGTACAGATATTGGCCTTCAGATATTAGGTTACTGCCAAAACTAGCAAAAGATATGCACTGATCAACTAATGAAATCTCCTTAGGCCACTGTGATCGAAGAACCAAGGCGTAAGAAATTTGCAGCAACTTTATTAGAGGTGCAATGTGTTGCAGAATGGCAGATTGTAGCATTACAGGATGTAAATTTGTACAATGAAATCTTATACTCCGTATGTTATTCAAGTTAAATCACTTCTCTCTAGTATTGTTCTTAACCCACTCCAAATATTGGGGGCTACCACCAACTATGGGCAAGGCGATCACTTCAGGAACACTGCATAAACAAGCACACCGGATTAATCACCCATCGAACACACACAAGATTCCATCCACAGACTCTCCGCCGACCGCCGTGGATTTAGGCCATGACATCAAAACTGATGTACAGTATAGAGAGACAGAGGGTAAGAGATTTATGGGAGAAAGGGCTTACTCATATTCATGATTGGCCTTGACATGAGCAGTGAGAGCTTCCAAGAGAGACTTCCTAGTTTTGATAATAAGCATCTCTTCCGAATCACTCTGTATCTGCACTCAAACCATTAGAGATACATCATACATCTCTTAAAACCAAAGCCGCATAATGAAGGCGAATAGGTTATTGAGGTTTACAAAATGTAGCATTACCTGTCCTTCCCACTCATAAACAGATTTGATGCCTAAATATAAATTACCAAGTCAGATAGTAGTTATAGATATTCTAATAATCAATAATAAAAGAAGAAGAAGAAGAAGAAGAGAAGTAATTTAAGATAACAGGATGTTGGAGATCTAAAATATATTTCATTTGGCTACCATTCATTCAGTATATCCATCCATTTGCTGACAATGAAGCATTACATAATTTGTTCCATTAAAAAGTAATAGTACAGGGAATTTAATGACTCAAGGCATGATAAGTAGACTTGCCTGGTACTCTATTAACACATGCAGCAAGTTTCTCCTTTACTATGCTCTCAGCCAATTTCTTACCTGGCAAAAAGGCAATAATGAGTAGAGTAGAAGCAACAACAGAAAGTCATAGAACATCATGTTGTATATAAGCATGTTTCACTAATTAGAAAAATGAATGTGTTCAAAAGATCAGAACGAAAAGGATAGTGAATCTCTGAGTTGAAAATGCAATCTGTAAAAGTTTAATCAATTGTGGGAGTATGCCAGGCATACCAATATATGGAAGACAATGGGTGAGTGTAATAAGGCGCCTTTAAATTACCTCTACCAATGAATATATACCAACGTAGTAACCCTTTAAATATAGTACAACACAAAGCCCAATTCAGACTAATGCATAGTATTTTGTTTTTGTTTGTAATAACTCATTAAGTGAATATTAGATATTACGAATTTCTGAGTATTCAGTTTTAGAATACGGATGACTTTAAATAAAAGTTCAGCAAACTGAACAAAATGAGAACATTGACTGAACAGGTTCGGGTTTTCTGCAAACAGGATGACAAGGGCCTTGACTCTAAAGCTAAGAACTCGGTTAGTAACACTAATATCGGCTGGATCTTCTCAAAGACTCAAATAGTCAAATTGATGAGTTCTACCTAAATCGGTTGAATTGATTGAATTTGCCGGATTAAAAAGAAATACATGAAAAAATAAAGACAAATTACATGGAAAAAACTAAAATAGTTCTTTGGCAAACTAAAAGTAACTTCATACTTACTCATTTTAATTATTACACAATTCAGCACACAAAATCAAAAGTTTCATTTTTTGATAAAAAGTTGGTTGATATACCAAAAAGTGGTTACAAAATGGGCTCTAGATGGGTTTAGGATTTGATTTATTCATCCATCTTACACTCTGTGAATCCACAATGGTTAGGGTACTCAAGGCATTGTCATTCCTAAATATCATGCAGGGATTGATTGAATACGGGAAGCATTCCATTTCAACAACATTAGTCAGTTCAGGGCGATGCTCAATCTAAATGTTCAATAGCAACTCAGAATGCCTAATTAAACATGTTTGTGACAGAGGAATCAAAAGTTCAAGAACTTATTAACTTTGCAGAAAAAAGGGCAGAAGCTAAGCAATCACCAACTATCCCCACTTGCCAGGGGTACCTAACAATGTCAAAGCCATACACATAAACATACAATGAATGCGGAAGGATATGCTTAGGAGTTAGGACGAACAATACAATCTGCAGATAATTGAACTTTCAAGCATGACAGGTAAAGTAATCTCAGTTGCTTAAGTATCAATTTACAGGTAGTAAACAACTAAACACCAAAATGGAGAATTTAATATTGTGTGTAACTGCGTACCCTAAGCGAATTCAATTGCTCCTAATTAAATTACTACAAAATATCACTGCTAGCCAAAATTAATCAAACGAAAAGCATAAGTAGATGATTAAAGACTGACCCGCTTCTTTGTTAGGAACAGTAACGTACACAACGATGCTAGGTACAGTGTTATCGCTGGCTTCCATTCTTATACTATGAGCACTTACACTCTGTGATCGGCCACCGAGTTTTGATCTGTAACGCTTTGAAAGATTGTCAAAAACACAGATCTCACTCTGAAGAAATGAAAGGAATTTATTGTTTACCTGAATAGTGGGGTGAAAGGGAAGGACTGAACGGAGGAAGGGACGGAGAGATTGGAAAAGCCGAGAGTTAGCACGCAGAAGGCTCCGACTAGTGGTAAACGGCGACGTATCAGAGTGGACGAGGCTGCCGCTGAGAGTTTTAAAGCCATTTGGTCATGAGAATTTATGCAGTTTTAGATTCCTGAGTTCGATGTCTGTTCACTCATGAACATAATCACTAAACGGATTGTTTCAATATTTCATAAATCTAATTAGTGGGTTCATTTTAGGGGTGTTTGAAACTGATTCTACTTCTGATATTTTTTAAAAGTAGAATCAGAATCAGTTTTCAGACGTTGGTCCCCCAACTTCTAAAAAACCTGATTCTAGGAGTAAATTAGAGTATTAGAATCACTTCTACACTTTCACTCAAACACTCCAACTTATGTTCCCTGAAAGAGGAGAAACAGTTTTAAGAATCGGATCCAAACACCCCTTAAATTGAATTTGAAAGAAAAGTTATGGTGGGTCACATATGTTAATCATTTTAAAGTTAAATCTAGTATTTTCATAAACCATTCATTTTTAGGGATCACGCACATTTTTTTTAAATCAAAAGCTCATACTTAATTATATTAAAGCGTCATTAGCCAGAATGTTGGCTATTCCGAAACAGCCTCTCGTGCTAACACATGAGCGGTCTGATTCGCGAATCGTTTACAATAACAAACTTTATAATGTTGTTCTTTATCACTAAGCAAAAGTCTAATATCATCTACTGGTAGTATAGTTTCAAAATACGTGAACCCAGGAGATGATTCAATTCCAGACGCCACTAGAGCTGCATCCGTTTCCACTTCTACCTTTTCCCAACCTTCCTCTCAAGCCCATCTAATAGCCTCTCTTAAGCCGACCACTTCTGCTACTTTCGGATCCCAAACGGCGTTGACTGCCTCCTTCCTTGCTGCAATGAACTGTCCATGCTCTTCTCTCACAACCCAACTCCAAGCTCGGACTCCTTTCGGTTGGTCAACTGCCGCATCCAGGGGCGTAGCCAGGAGTAAGAGTTGGGCTAGGTCGGTACAAAGAATTTTTACACATAAATTTTTACACATAAATTTTTGCATTAAAAATATAAGCAATTTTAAAATTTGGGTTGGGCCGTGGCTCGGTTGGCCACCCCTCCACCTCCGTCCCTGGCCGCATCCACGTTTATTTTTATCCAACCGGCCTCCGGCCTTTTCCACCTATCATTCCTCATATCTTTGATGCCCGTCTTACTTCCAGCTTTTGCTTGCACCGCCCGTCACCCTTCCAGCAGTGTACAACCCATCACAACAAACCCACTGCTAGAAAACTTCTCCCCTTTCCACACTAAACTGTTTCTACCTTTTCATATACTCCACATAGCCATTATGGCCTTTACAATGATGTTGTCATCCTGCTGCTCAAACATAATCTGCAACCAACCTGCTGGTGAAAATCCTCTACTATGAAATATGTCCCCTAACATATCACATACCTCATTAGCTCCCCTGCATGTGAGAAACAAATGATCAGCTGACTCCTCCCCATCTTTACAAATTAGGCATGTAGTCTTCACATTCACCTTGCGCCCCGCTAAATTAACAAGAGTCGGTAGAACCCCCATCATAAGTTGCCAAAAGAAAAGCTTTACTTTTGGGGGTACATGCATTCTCCATAGGCGGGTCCAGCCCCACCATCCATCTGGATTTTCCTCCCCAACTAACCGCCTATAGCAGCTTCTAACAGTATGTCTTCCCCTAGCATCATCTGCCCACCAGAAAACATCGCTAGTAGCATTGATAGGTAATGGAATGCTCAAGATAGTAGCTGCCTCTTCCTCTGAAAACAGATCCTGAACTCTACTTTCATTCCAGCTCTTACCTGTCTCCCCTAATAGTGCAGCCACATTCATGTCCTTGATTCCAGGGGGTCGGGCCGATTGAACCCTCCCTGTCCCAGCCCCTGGTAACCATGCATCCCCCACACTGCAACTTCTTTGCATGTCCCAAATCTCTTCCTCAACCCGTTAGCAATCACTGATTGCGATTCAAAGATACTACGCCATACAAAAGACGGACTGTTTCCCAACTTTGCTTATGTGTTTGGATAGTACTTTGCCTTGAAAATTTTGCTCCACAACGCACCTGGGCTCGTAACAAACTTCCAAGCTTGTTTACCTAGCATTGCCACATTAAATTCTCGTAGCTTGCGAAAACCAAGTCCACACTTTTCCTTTGGCTTACAAAGTCGATGCCATGCCATCCATCTAATACCCTTACCCGAAGCATTCTTTCCCTTCCACCAATATCCATTCATCAACACCTCAATCTCTTTGCATAACTTAACCGGTAATAGAAAAACATTCATTGCATACGTAGGAAGCGCCTGAATTACTGTTTTGAGCAAAACCTCTCTACCTGCTTTGGATAATAGTCTGTTGTTCCAGCTATGCAGCTTCTTAAGTATGTATTCCTTTAGGAAGCCGAGGATCCCCCTGTTTTCCGACCAACCAAGGTGTACAATCACATACCATTTTAACGAAAATAGTATGGATGTTTTTTTAATGTAATTTTTTCTTATTTTTCATATTTAGCTAATCCCGCTAAATTTAAGACTATTATAATTAGAGTACTTCTACGATACCTCTTAAATTAATAAGGTATGGTACCTCTACCAACGTGGACCTATAAGAGTGATACATATGGCATCTTTAAACACATGCATGAAACCGTTTAATTTATTTAAAAGAAATTAACTTACACTTTAGTCCCTACGATAAACGTGTGTTTTGACGGTTCAAGTGAATCTTGAACGCGCACACGCATCAGGAAAGGAAGACGGCAGCAATCCAGCATTCTCATCGGCGATTTCTATAGACGTCAGCTAGTGTAAAATTCATTAGCTTTTCTTCGGGGTGTAGCCAGGGGCGGAGCCAGAAAAATGTGTGAGGGGGATCGATATTTAATTATACACAATATAAAAATGATGGATAGCATGGGCGGAGCTAGGGGTGGGCCAACCTAGGCCATGACCAACCCCAAATTTTAAAAATGGCTTAATTTTTAAGGTAAAAATTTTCGTGTAAATTGTTTTCAAAAAATGTTCTTTGTACCGGCCCAGTCCAGCCCAGTGCTCTGGCTCCGCCCCTGATGGATAGTTATTATACAATACTTAAATTAAATGTTTCATATGTAGATGCGATAAATGGTAGTTTAATGAGCCTTTTTCAGTTAATATATATATATATATATATATATATATATATATATATATATATATATATATATATATATATATAGGTTTTGGTTCAAATAAGAACACAATCTTATGAGAGAAATGAGAACGAATTTTAGCCATTACATTAGATTATTTTCCTAGACAATTACGTAGGATCACCTTGCCCATATTGGTCATTACATCTTTTCATTCCATATATGCTTTAATAACATTCTATATTCATTTTCACGACATTTCATCTCAAACATTTAAAGGCATCAATGATTTGCTTTCCTTATCAATCACATTCCAAATATATAAATGAGCTAGAATGTTTTTATACTCCTACGGCATAATTTTTCATATTAGTGGAGACGTTGAGTTCGTATATGTCTTCTCATGTTATATGTTTAATTAATTTTTCCTTTTTAAAATATTTCGTTTTCTTCCATTAACTATTTAGAAAGAATATTTATTTATTTATTTTTTCTCAATAATAATAATTCAAATAATGAACACCATTTATCAGAAAATGAATCTAAATTCAAATAACACTTTAAATAATTAATCTTCATTCTTATTTCATTAGTCTACACTTTCTATAATATGCATTTTACTGTCATTATTTGTGCACTTCCATATATTTTTAGATAACATGAAAATAAATATACACGGGTGTAAATTAATACCATCGTGTGCATTTTAATCATAAAAAATGCACTATAAAAAATACACGGGTGTAAATATCCTATGTCGGCGCTTATATAAAAAAAATGCACTTTTATCATGTGCATTTTAAATAAAACAAAAGTTCACTATTCTATCATACTTTCTAAAATCTAAATTGTTTGATATGATGGTGTCACCGGAACGGTTCCGGTGAGAACGGTGTCTCAGGAGAGAAATAAGAACGAAATTTAGCCTTTGATTCAATCAAATGGATGGCTACAAATGAAGCATGATAATAATGGAAATCATTAATAAAGACAATTAGTTGAGTATTTAATAGGGATATACGTATAACAATAATTATTAAAGGGTACATACGTAAAAACAATATGGTGACCCACGTGAGTAGTAAACGTACGAGATGTTTTCGATTACAAAAATATCATTAAATACTAGATCATTAAATTACTTTCCTTTTAGATTTTGTCTATTAAAATATGTAGTCATGAACAGTACGTTACTTTATGCAGCAATTATAAATTAAAGTGCATTTTAACATCATTAGAATAATGTGACATTAATTTTTTAATTATGCCTTATTATAATTGAATGTTCCTTCAAAAAAAATTGAATGTACGTTATTTTCATAAAAAACACATTTTCTTTAAATTAAGTATTTATTTAGATATATATTGCAATTCAGAATGAAATCAAAATGAATTCGGACCACTAGATTGTATTATGCAAAACTGAATTGTGCATTTGGTGAAACTAAAATGTGCATTAGGTGAAACTGAAATGTGCAAAATAAAAAGTAAAATTCAAATGTGAATTAAGTGAAAATGAAATGTGCAAAATAAAAAATACAAAAGTGTCAATGCATCGTACCTCTATTGTGCATTTCAATTTCACCTAATGCACATTTCAGTTTCATCTAATACACAATTTAGTTTCACAAGATATCACTATTATACCCTTTGTGCTGCACATTTCAATTTGACTTAATGCACAATCAACTTCACATAATAAAATTCAACCGACTAGATTTTTTCTAATATCTCTCTTAAGATCATTTTCTCTCATCAGTACATCTTATTTAGCTAAAAAGTGCACACCCTAGTATAAGAGATCATTTCATATTTACTGAAAAGTGCACACCCTAGTATAAGAGATCATTTCATATGTAAATGCACAACATAATTATATTACTTTGATGCACATATCATATATTTTTCATGCATTTTTTCATTATTTTTATTTAATATTTTTACATATACAATTGACACCATCATATCAAACAATTTAGATTTTAGAAAGTATGATAGAATAGTGAACTTTTGTTTTATTTAAAATGCACATGA